ATTCATTGAGGGTAAGGATGGTAAGGATCGAGTAATGGTATTCAGCGTAATACATGTTGCTTTATCAGTGACGCGTGTACAGTCTGTTACTGCACTTTCAGTATAATGTGATTTGTCTGTTTTTTAAAGTAGCTTTACTGCTGTAACCGCAGTATTTCGCGTGAAATACGGTGTACGCGAGATTAGCTATACGTATGGAAATCTGTCTGCGTATCGTCGTATAGTTATCTACTTAAGCACTTGTCGGATAAATGCACCGTTTGTTACTTTAACCAGACTTAGGCAGTTTGATCGATTCCTGTTTTCAACCTCACCGATAACAAGATCTTTCCGTTCCAGCCCCGTGAGGTACGCAATATTTACATTCTATTAGAATACAGTTTTTTACCTTGTACGTTTCTGGTTCCAGATTGCCTTTGTTATTTACTCACCAGCCAGCAAGACGATGAGTCATGGCGTTGGCCGCCAGTTCTGGTTCTTGCTATTATTCTTTGTTCTCGGCAGTTTCCTTTCCGCAAAATGTGTTTACTGCTGTATGCCTGTGAATCGTAGCTAAAAATAACAGTGATAACATAGAAAAACGGTAATATATTCAGTGTGTACAACTTTAGACGTATAGTAACGTTTTATGGACAGATGACCCGGACGCTCTGAGGAAGCTAATACGCTAGTTTTCAAGTAGCGACCATAATCATAACCTTTCAGTTTCGGATGCCCGGATTTACTACACATAAGCGCACCTCCTGTTGCTAGTATGCAAAACTTATACTTAGACTTAGAATTTTACCTTCTGTATGGAAAACAAATACTCATAGAATTTTTGTTAAGTCAGATTCTTTTACATTTGAAAATTCATATAGTTTGAATGATGTTCTTTAAGTCTAATATTATTCATAAAGTGTCTTCCCGCTCTTCTGATTATATATATAGTTTGTTCCGTTCAGTGGATGGTGGCAGGATAAAATGCTTTCCCCGTGCTTTCTTTCAGAATTACAATGGACCGTTCGGTTCACACCTTCCCTTCAGAACTTTGAACAAAGTGTTTTTTCTTTCTACTGATTTACCTTAAACTCATCAAGTGATCGACTGATTTATCAGAAATTTAACGATCTCATTTGTAAATTGCTTCCAGGTTCATGACAGGTCTACAGATGATCAGAACACCTTGAAAAGTAAACTTCATTTTACCTTTTTTTTCAATTCTTTACTCTGATAGTTAATAGCTCCTGCGATTTGAACTTCGAAGCCAGATACTTGAATGTCCATCAGCGGCGAAGCTGAGCCATCTCCAGCAGTCATATTCTTTGCGTAATGGGTTTCAAAGCATAATTAAATAAAGAATAATAAAAGGACATATCAGATAAGCAGCTTATGTAAGTGAAACAACGGAATCAGTTCGAAAGACATGACCAGCATCTTAATCATAATATATAAGGAAAGAGACGATTAAAGACTAGGAAAATATTCATTAGGTGAAGCTGTCGGAACTCGAATAGGTATTTTTCCTTCAGCACAAATTAATATTCTGAGGAGATGACATCGTTGTCACATAAAAATTATCAGTAAAGTTATTGCAATTTTAATGAATAATCCGACACCAGCAAGGATTAAAAGCTAAATGATGGTTTAAATTTCTGTAAGAACTCTTCGATACAACTAAACATACAATTAAATTTACATAAATCAACATAAAATACTGCGTTGAACATTGTGCACATTTTATTACGTCATCCATGTACAATTACTATGGGGTTCGTTTGGTTTTTCATGGGTACTAGCTATAAAATTCAAACTAGGTTTGTGCCCTATTTATTACAGCCTGCCAGGTCTGTATAACTAGTACATGAACACAAGCATTTGTGATACTTGCTACCTTCAGAACTTAGAGCAATAGCTGACGGCGAAACATGATATTTCAGTAGATAAGTTACCCATGAATAACGAATGAACGAACGGTTGGGAGGCCGTATCTTACTTGCGAGATCAGTGACATCGGGTTCTAGGCAATTCTCCTAATTGGCGCAAATTAATCTACCTCCAAAACTGGAGGCATCATTTAGCAAGCTGTGGGTGCATATAGGGTATACCGAGATGAGAGGTTTCAGGGACTGCCCAGTTTGCATGTTAGCATGAAATGGTACAATAGTTTAAAGATTTGCTTTTCATGGCGTACCTTCGCCGTCATAATGCAGTGAATAGTAGGATATCGTTCTAACGGGTTCTAATTGTGAACATTGGTTTTGTTCACAATCGTTCCAAAAACCAATGGCATATAAATAGCATTGACATTTAAGTCTGTTTACGAGCGGCAGTTGCTCACTTAGTGTTTGAACGCATATTGATTCGGTCTAAGGTGGTGATACGGTATTGTATTCATGCAGTGTAGTATTCAGATATCATCGAGTCACGGTGTGCCGTAAAATCCCTTAGGCACCTGAAAACAAGGAGCTGTACGAATATGCCGCAATAATACGGTGAACGGTTAAGACATCGTTTTACCGACTTATTCAACATTCGTCCTAGTTGTCAGTCTCCCAAAACTATCGGGTCATTCTTCTATCAGTATATATAGGCATAACTGCATCTGCATATACCGACATTAAAGGTTAGCGATGAGTCATCGAACAGCCTCGCGTGAAAGGCAACGTATAAATCGCTGGTAGATGGTATCAGACGCGTTAATTTTGCTGAGCAGTGTTTCTGCTGAACGAAGGTAAAATATATTAATCCTATGTTTTTCGCGAGGTACCATAACCGCTTCTATGCAAATATGCCTTTCTTTCAAACTTGTTCGATTTTTTCAATTTAAATATTTATTATTCATCTCAGCGATTGTATTAAGTGCAAGGCTTGATTATTAAAAATAGTAACGTAAGCATCTGAAGTCTTAAACAACGTGTTTTGGAGTGGTTTTTTCATAACATTTCAATCAGTGCAATGGCCTCGAGACCTGACGCCCGAACAATTGTTTTATTGCGGTGAAAATGTTCACGAAATTCGTAATCGTTTTCACGCGAGCTGTTTTCATAATCCACCCTTAGTTTCTTTGCAACTAGCAAAAAGCAACAAAGGTATGAAGTGCTAAGATACTCCTGGAGATGTTCAGACCAGGTGACACTACCGCAACCGTGGTTGAGGAAACTTACTTTATCGTTATGCTGATTTTTTATGATAAGATTCTTCTGGCTACTAACCCAGACCATATTAACATTAAAATGTGGTGCTACTTCGAAATATGCCAAATACGCATGACTCCTAAGACCAGCTTTTATGGTGTACTGCAAAGCCCGCTCATTTGCTCCTAGCTGCTAATTAAGCAGGCAACGACTGCATGGCATTTCAGCAACGGCGCTGTCAGGAGGATCTCGCGTCATCTTCTCTTGAAGGAGTT